ATGTTTGTGTTTTTAAATGTCCCAGATTTTTTTAAATGTTCTATTTTTCCTCCATTATTTTTCTTTATCCAGATGTTCTAATACATCATTTACCTTGTCCTCAAACCCTAATATTCTGTCTTCAACTTGATCCAGTCTACTGGAAGGCTTTTTATTACATTTAAAAATTTTACTTATTAAAAATTTCAGTTTCAGAAATTCAATTGATTTTTTTCTTTAAGTTCTCTTCTTCCTCCTCCTCCTCTTCCTCCTTCTCCTCCTTCTCCTCTTCTTCCTCCTCTTCCTTTTCCTTCTCCTCCTCCTTTTCTTCTTCCTGTTTATTGTGCCAGTCCTTTAGCTTGAACTGGGGCCTGAGTGCTATCCCTGAGCTTTTTTGGTTAAGGCTGGTATGCTACCGCTTGAGCCATAGCTCCACTTCTGGCTTTTTTGGTGGTTAATTGGAAATAAGAGTCTTAGTAACTTTCTTGCCTGGGCTGGCTTTGAACCATCATCCTGATCTCAGCCTCTTGAGTAGCTAGGATTACTGGTGTGAGTCACTGGCGTCTGGATAAATTCTTTTTTTAAATCATACTTTAATTTATTTATTTTAATTTGTATTTTCTTTTAATTCACTTGGCTATTTCTACATATTCTCTTTACTTTTGTTGTCCATTCTTAGGAGCAATGTTTTGAGTTCTTTTTTGAGATTTTTATCTACTTCACTTTCCTTAGTGTCCATTACTGTGGCATTACTGACTTTTTGGAGGAGTCCTGTCTCCTTGTTTTTTTGTATTTCTTGTGTTTCTTTATTGGAATTTGTGCATCTGAGTTAAAGTCTTAACTTGGAAGTTTTAATCACCTGCCATCTCTCAGTTGACATAGTCTCAGTGTTCAGGAAGAACAATGTACTGAAGGGTTGAGGTACCATTTCTCATCATTGGACTGGAAAGTATTGCTCAGTAGCCAAATATTCACCCAGATGGTCAGGACACTAAGCCTGATTGCCAGCGCTACTCAGATGAAGAAAAACTAACTGAAGTTCTTGTAGCTCTTAGGGTACTGGTTATTGCTAAAAGTAGACCATAATGGGGCCAACCAAGTGTTGATTGTTCACTTCTGGGCTATCACTATGCTTCTTCTTTATGTACTAGGAGTTGCTGCTGTCCACAGGAAACTTTGCAAGCTCTTCAATTTGTGCTTCAAGGGTCAGCAAGTGTCCAAACCCAGGAGTATTCCTCAAATGCTTCAGAGTATTAGGGTAGAGGGGAGCAAACAAAGCGCTGAGCTCTGCTCTGGCAAGGGGAGAAACTGAGGGACTAAGTCTCTCTGCCTTCTGATCTCAGTGCTTTCAGATTCCACCCAGCAGTCTTCTTTACTGTGTGGCAGGGGAGAAGGCTGTGGAAATTGTGTGATTCTGAGGTCTTAGGCTTGGAGGTCTCAATCTTGCCCATCACAAACACTGTAGCCCAGCCACAATGCATTTCCTAGTTGTTGATCTCAGTGCTTTCAGGGTATCTGGGCTACAAGCTCTCTGTCTTGATGGGCAACAGACATATCTAACCTCAAGGCAGCTCCTGTAGACTCATCACTCTGTCAGCTATGGACTCAGTAATCTGTGTTGCTTGAGACTGTCAGATGATGAGACTCGCTCCTCATCAGGGAGGGTAGGATCTGACAATGACACTGTCTGGCCAATCTGTTTAAACTTCTCAGCAGTTCTCTATTAGATCCTCTCCACAACCATCTCTCATGGCCACTTTTTACTCAGACACTGTTGACAGGGTGTTCCAAGAGTCCCTAAATTATGATTATTTCCTCTTTTCATCTCTTCAGTGTATTTAATTAATAGACACTGCAAGATGACACCTTGCTATAGCTCTCCAAGATAAAAAAAAAAAAGAGAGAGAGAAATAAAATGTCTCTCTTCATTGAAGCTAGCCTTCCACAACATCAGTCACATGTCTTACCAAATCCTCCCACTGGATTTAAGGATTGTGGGAGGTGTGAACTTACCTTGAAGCAAGAATTTCCAGTCTGTTGCCAGGGATGTCTGGCTTACCTTGTACATTTATCTTGTGTTACAACACCCTACCCACAAGGAGACAAGAATGGAGCCTAGGACTTGCTTCTGCTTTTCTATGACACCTTTCAGTTTCTCTATGATTTTCAGCCAAATGGCCACTCCCCCACCCACCCCTTGTGATTCCTGACACTTTTCCTCTCTTTGTCTTCAGAATAGTCTGTCCTTCTCATTCATAGACTCAAATTGAGGATGCTTCAAATCTACCATTTTGCCCTCTCCTCTCTAAATATTCTTGATACTAAGTCCTTAATCAGATAGATGGCAAATATTTTCTTCCCATTCTGTGGTTGTCATTTCACCCTTTTGAGGCAGTACTGAGATTTGAACTCAGGACTTTGGATGTCAGGCAGATGATCCACAACTACAGCCATGCATTCACACTTTTTGGCTACAGATTGTCTTTTTTGAGATGGGGTTTTGCTTTTTATTTTTTGGTAGGTCGTGGGGCCTGAATTCTGGGCCTGGGCTTTGTCCCTGAGCTCTTCAGCTCAAGGCTAACACTCTACCACTAGAGCCACATTGCCACTTCTGGCTTTTCTGCTTATGTGGTGCTGAGGAATCAACCCAGGGCCTCATGCATGTAAAGCAAGCACTCTACCACTGAGCCACCTTCCCAGCCCCAGGTTTTGCTTTTTGAGTAGGTTGACATGGATTATGATCCTCTTATTTAATGTTTCCCTCTGTAACTGGGGTGACAGGCACATGCTACCATGCCTAGCTTTTTCTGTAGAGATAGAGTCTCATAAACATTTTTTTTGCCCTGGGATGGTCTAGATTCATAATCCTCTTGATCTCAGTTGCTTGTGTAGCTGGGATGCCAGGAATGTACCATTCTTCCCAGCTGTTGGTGAAGGTGATGTCTTATAAACATTTTGCCTATGCAGTTCTGAAACCTTAGTCCTCCTGATTTCAGCCTTCCTGAGTAGCTAGGATTACAGTCGTGGACTACTTACTCCTGGTTCACCTTCTCAATAGCATTCTTTAATATACAAGGTTAAAACTATATTTAGGTAGAAAATATAGAGAAATTGTACAAATTAGGAGACACTGCTACAGTTGTGGTTATTTTGTGTCTTCTCATGATACATTTTTGGGATGAATCATAAGAAAATAGTAATTTGAGGGACAAACAGAGATTGGAAGGAGCTTGGATATGAATAATCTTTTTTGTGGGCAGGGGCAGTCCTAGGGCTTGAACTCAGGGCCTGGATGCTGTCCTTGAGCTTTTGTGCTTAAGGCTAGCACTCTACCACTTGAACTACAGCTCCACTTTTGGCTTTTTTAGTGCTTAATTGGGGATAAGCATCTCAGCTGGGCACTAGTGGCTCATGTTTGTAATCTTAGCTACTCAGGAGACTTAGATCTGAGGATTATGGTTTAAAGCAAGCCTGGGCAAGAAAATCCACATGACTCATCTCAAATTAACCATCAGAAAACTAAAAGTGGAGCTGTGGCTTAAAATGGTAGAGTGCTAGCTTTGAGTAGAATAGCTCAGGGATAGCACCAAGGCCCTAAGTTCAAGTCCCATGACAGACCCAAAATTAAGAGTCTCACAGACATTCCTGCCTGGGCTGGCTTTGAACCATGATCTTCAGATCTCAGCTCCCTGAGTAGCTAGGATTACAGGTATGGACCACTGGTGCCCGGCATGTGAATAATCTTTTGCTCCATGTAAAAGGAGGCTTGTATTGTCATGACCCAGGATCCCAGCAAACCCAAAGCTTTGGGTAGTTAAAATCCCAGAAGAGAAGGTCTGCACACAGACTCTCCAAACAAAACTTGAGTAGTAGCATGGAGGCTATTTAGGAGTTGTTTATTGATTGGTAGTAGAATTATGAGAAATAAAATATTCCTTTCCAGGCCTTGGGTTAAATCTAATAGCTCCTGAAACCCAAGGCTGGACAGTTTACCAATCTGTCTCTTTTTGAATTTGAGGATTGTGGTCCCGCTGAAGTGTAGACATCCCTTTAAAGCAGTGAAGAACAGGATGCTAGAATATGCATAAGAATCAGATAAAAGACCATGAGCTCACACTCCAGTCTTCCAGTGTCAGAAACAAGAACACTCAAAAGATTTTTTCCCACTTAGTTTCTAGAAGCTCTTTCTGACTGTTGGGGGATAAGACTACTGAAAGTGGAATCCAGGAATAACGCAATACTTTACTAAACTGCATAATTCAGTTTTTGTTTGCTTCCTTTACTTTTTTTCTTTTGGTAAAACTGAGAAGTTACTTCTGGCTGAGCACTGATGGTTGGTGCCTGTTAGCCTAGCTACTCAGAAGGCTAAGATCTGAGTATTGAGGTTCAAAGCAAGCCCTGGCAGATTGATCTACAAGTCTTTTATCTCCAGTTAACTAGCAAAATGCCAGAAGTGAAAGTTTGGCTCAAGTGGTAAAGCTCCAGCCTTGGGCAAAGAAAGCTACAAGAAAGCATGAGAACCTGAGTTCAAGTCCCATGACCAGCAAAAAAAAAAAAAAGAAAGAAAGAAAAAGAGAGGAAAACAAGAAAGGAAGGAAGGAAGGAAGGGAAGAAAAACAAAGAAAGCAGTACATATAGGGAAAGAATGAATCATATCTATGCACTTAAAATTATAGAGATTTTCAGAAACTTTGGAAAAAGATATTCAAGTTCATAAACTGAATTTCTTACCAAATACTGAGAGTTGCTGATAATTAATATTGCTGGAATAAATAGTAATGTGATTGCCATTGTATTTATAGTCTTGTTAAATTTGAGATTCACAGCATTAAAATGTAATAGAAAGGTCCTATCCATATTTTCTCTAGGAATTCAGAAAATACTTTTATTTGATGATCATGGAGAAACACTTAGGACCATATTTTGAGAATTACTGTCCTTGTAACTTGGGTGGCTGAATTTTCCACTTTGCCTCTACCATTTTTGATGTGTACAAGAAAAGATCAAGTTATCCCTTTGAATCAGGGCTTCCCAGCATTCTTTGGCTCCTGGGGACATGCCATTTTTGTGATGGCTGCCTTGACATCCTTGTTCCTCAGTGTGTAGATGAGAGGGTTGAGAACAGGTGTGAGAATAGCATATACCACATTGCCCATGATGTGGAAGTCGAGAGGCAGGTCAGCCCTGTAGGAGACATAGGCAATGGCAATGGATGAGTAGTAAGTGCCCACCACCAGGAGGTGGGAGCTACAGGTGGAGAAGGCTTTTGAACGTCCTTCTTGGGAGCTGATGCGAAGCACAGATGCCAGGATGCGGGCATACGAGAGCAAAACCAGGAGAAGGGGAAGGAAGGACACCACCATAGCGATACAGAAGCCCATGAGGGTCTGTGGGGTGGTGTCAGAGCAGGAGGCCTGAACCACAGCCAGGTGGTCACAGAAGCAGTGGTAGATGTAAGCAATGTTGTTGTAGGCCATCTGGGAGGTCTGTACCACTGCTGGGATGGGCAGGAGAAGGGCAGTGAGCCAGGCACTGGCTGCCAGTGCAGCATTGGTCTGTGGGGTCATATGGACCGGGTAGTGCAGTGGGCGGCAGATAGCCACATAGCGGTCATAGGACATGACCACCAGGATGAAGGCTTCTGAGCAGGAGAAGCTATGGAAGAGGTACATCTGCAAGAAGCAGGCAGGGAAACTGAGGAATCGATCTCCAAGCAGGAACAGGGACAGCATCTTGGGGACTGTAGTTGTGGTGAAAAGAATGTCCAAAGCTGAGAGGTTAATGAGGAAGAAGTACATGGGTTTGTGGAGACTGGGCTCTGCCACCACTGCCACCAGGATCAGGGCATTGCCCACCAAGATGAGCAGGTAGAGAAAGAGAAAGATGAAGAAGACAGGAAGGAAAAAGGATTTTGGCAGAGAGGGGATGCCGGTGAGGTAGAAGATGGTCCAGGAGTCGCCTGATCCATTACAGGTTGTGGTCTCCATGGTGAGTTAATGCTGGATGCTCATGAGTTGTGCAGGGAAAGAGGCCTGCCTGGAAACAGAATACCCACTGGTTCTGGAATGAGAATTGTAGAATGACCACTTTAATTAACTAATCCTTCATCCTATTCCGTTTGCCCTTTAAATCAAGTATAGAAAAAGGTATGTACAATATACAAACCATGTGTCATTGATTGGATATGTAGTAGATAAGATGAGCAAGACAGAGAAGTGGTCAAGGAAGACACTAATCAATGAATCATGTAATTACTTAATTGTAATTACATTCAGTGCTATGGAAAAACTTCTTGGGGTTTCATTTCCATGTCCCAAATAGTCCTTTTGGGGATATCAGATCTCTTATGCAAAGATTGTAATTTCCTTTTGCTTTTAGCATTGCTTTATGTTTTTAAGTATATTATTATTATGTTTATGTTTATGTTTATGTGGTAATGAGGAATTGAACCCAGGCCTCATGCATGCTAGGCAAGCAATCTTCCACTAAGCCACATTCCCAGCCCCATGTTTGTTGGTTTGTTTGTTTAATTGCAACTTTGTCACTATATACCTAGGGAGGATTGATTTCCCAAAGGTTTGCTAAGAACATGTGAGCTTCCTGCCATAATTACTAACTGGAGACTGGGTCCTTTCTCACTTGTTTGCTTGATACCCTGATTTTTTTTCTGCTGCCATACAAATGAGGCCTCTGCAGTAGGATCAAGAGTTTAAGGACAGCCTTAGTTACATGGCTAGACACTGGGGCAAAATAAATAAATGAGCAAACAAACATGGTGCAACAGTGGTGTGCCCATAACCCCAACCTACTCAGAAGGCACAAACTCACTGGAGTTTGAAAACACCTTGTGCAATGCAAGACTTTACAACAGAGAGAGTGAGAGAGACAGACAAAGGAGATACACACACACACACACACACACACACACACAAAGAGAGAGAGAGAGAGAGAGAGAGGTGAGCACCAGTAGCTCACACTTGTAAATCTAGCTACTTAAGAGGCTGAGAGTTAAGGATTGCATTTCAAAGCCAGCCCAGGCAGGAAAGTCCATGAGATTTGTTCTTAACTTCAGACTTGACCTTTAAACTAAGTGACCCCTGGGGCAAGTTTATGCTGACATTGCTATTATTAAATCCTTAATGGAATGATTCCATGAGCAATGCCACCTTGTTTGTCTCTGCCACTTCTAATTTACCATTATTCTAACAAAATCCACTAATATGAAAACCAGAATATAAATATACATATATATATTATATTATATATATATATATATGTATATATATATATATTAGTTTTTGCCAGTCCTGGGGCTTGAACTCAGGGCCTGAGCACTGTCTCTGAGCTTCTTTTGCTCAAGGCTGCACTCTACCACTTGAGCCACAGCACCACTCCTGGCAATGAAGAATCAAACCCAGGGCTTCACCTACGCTAGGCAAGCGTTCTATCACTAGGCCACATTCCCAGCCCCAATTATTTACTTTTTAAGTCCTCTTAGGCTAGAGACTACACAGAGGAAGGGCAAGTGTTTTTCCAGGTTTACAAAAGATGACCAGATGCATAAGCAGGTCAGTGATGTGTCAAGTCTTAGATTTCCAGTACAGAGATGATTTACCTGCTTATCTTTTCCAGAGAATCCAAATTCAAGTTTTCCAGGGGAGAAACATGAAGAAACAACTTTGTTTCTATCTCCCCTTTTGCTTTTCCAATTGACCCTATCAGACAAAGCTAAATCTTATTTCCCCCACTCTGGGGTACAATATAGTAGAACTAACTTGGTGTCTAGCAAGGCAAATGCTTCTTTGACATAACATCCCAGCACTTGGCAGAAGAGTGAACCTATTATGGCCCAATTGGAGAGGGTCTGATCCCATCCCAACAATCTTGGTAGCCAGGGATCCTTCACATCCAAAGACACACAGGAAAAATTTCCCTGGATCTTGTTGTACTCAGAGAAGATGGCTGACCTGTCATTGCCAGGCTAGGCTGAGTTGGGGAACTGGCAGGCTCGGAACTAAGAAGGTCAAAGTTGAGGTACCTTAGGAAGCCATCAAGTCTAGCTGTCCATTCTCTTCTCTCCTATGTCCACTCTTTGCTGATAAAATTATATATACTGAGCCCCTGGTGGTGAGGTGGATTTTCACTGCCAGGTGGTACTGTACTATATTACAGGTAGCTCAGGTGAGCCACTAATAAAGCTGAGCCACCAAAAGGACTTTTTGAAGGAATTTGACAGTTCAAAGAACAGTCAACTAATCACCACTGGGAAGTTCCAGATTTTTTTTTTCTTTTTGTCGGTCCTGGGGCCTGAACTCTAGGCCTGGGCACTGTCTTTCAGCTCTTCAGCTCAAGGCTGGCGCTCTACCACTTGAGCCACAGCGCCACTTCCAGTTTCCTGAATGGTTTATTGAACATAAGAGTCTCACAGACTTTCATGCCCAAGCTGGCTTTGAACCATGATCCTCAGATCTCAGTCTCCTGAGTAGCTAGGATTACAGGCGTGAGCCACCGGCGCCTGGCAAGTTCCAGATTTTGCTTGGACTTCCTTGTTATTTTAAGGGTTAAGGTTACTGTGTTCTGATGATATGATACCTCTAAGTAGTGCATTTGTGTGGTTAGAGCCAAAAGGACTCTGCTTCCCAGGGCACAGATTGCCTCGGTAGCTCTTCCCTGTAGAGAATGTTTATGAGCCACTTCTAATGCCGATGGGGGAGAGAGAAAGACAGTAAACCAGTCACCAGAATGTACAAACTGTGCTTAATGTATATAATCCTTTTATCACTCAACCCTGTCCCTTAGACAAGCAAAGAAACAGAGGCTCAGAAAAGGACAGCTCTTGTCCAAGGCCACAGTTGGTGAGCATTGTGCCCAGTAATTGGTTCTGCAGCCATCAATTGCAATAGTCTCTGTCAAGGAGACTACGTGCTTCTGATTATACAAAATAATGTTTATCAAAATGAACTCCAAGAAATGGAAACAAGAGGTTTTCTTTTTTGCTGTTTTCGTTGTCTTTTCTTTTTGTTCTGTTTGTTCATTTCTATGTCTTTGGGAGTTTAAGGAGATGCCCAGAGATGGAGGGACAAAGGGTGAACAAATGCAGCAATGGTACTCACTGTACACTCTGTTGAAAATGAACTATACAATTTGTGGGTGGGGACGGGAAGGAAGACTCAGAGTGAGGGAGGGAGAATATTGTCCAAAAAGAAATGTACTTTTTACCTGACTTAGGTAACTGTAACCCCTCTGTATATCACCATTATAATAACAATGAAAAATTAGTCTCAGTCTTGCCTGGCAACCAAGAGTTCTGGCTTCTAGTCTAGCCCTGCTTCTTGCCTGCTGAGATCTTGAACTTGAAAGCTTGTGTTGTTTTGATTTCATCTGTATGATAAGTAGTTTGAAGAGATGCTTTCTGAAGGGTTTCCACTTTAGAAGGTCCCTTCTGTGTTTGGCAGGGTGAGATTTCAGAGACAGAGGTCACATGGCTCATGCCCTGAAGGGAGGAAGATGGCTTTTCCACTCAGTAAGATCTGCTGCAAAATGGGGTTCTTTTTGGCCATGTCAGTGGTTAAGGATGTAGATGTGAAAGCCAGAAAGCACTGGATGCCAGTTGTCATCCTACCTCCAGCTGGGTGACCCACAGCAAATCTTGCCCCTCTCTGAACCCTGTTCAACCCATCTGCAGAACGCTGTAGACAGGGACGACAAAGAGGCCAGAACATCTCAGAACACAAAGTGGCAAGTGTTTCTAGTCACTGTCTTGCCTTTCTGTGGGAAGACCTTGTCAAGATGGATTGAATGTCACCTGAGAGAGTATACCCCCTCCGCCTGACCTATCAGGGCCCAAGGTTCATAGCTCATGGTCCTCAAGGTTCTCCCCATGGTCCTGGATTTGAGGAGCAGGTCTCAGTTTTATACTAATCTGTCCAGCTACTGGGTCTCCTATTTCTTTTTTTTTCTTTAAAAATATGTTTATCTTTTTGGCTTGGATGAAATACAAAAGTCAGAGCATGATCACAGAGTTTAAATCGCAGACACAGAAAGAATAAAATCCTTTTGTTTCATGTTCTATGAATACCAGAATTCTTTTCGTTTCATTATGTCACATATATACATTGTTGTCTTCCCTTACTGTTGTAGATAGATTTCCTTAATATGGGCCCCCTATTTCTGTCTCTCCAGTTTAGATTTCATCTATCCCAGCAATGCTCACCTGTTGAGCCCAGTTTACACTGGTCTTCTGTGGTTCTCTACTAACAGCCTTGGTGGAAGGAGCGTGCTAGGGCTAAACCACGGCCTCCTAACCCTTAAGCCCCTCCTTTCATGCAGGTCTCTTGAGGTGCTCCCTCAAGATGATGCTCCCCTGGTCCCATACCCACCATCCTCAGGGATCACTCCCTGGGCTCCCTGAGATCTCTTAGAACAGATATGGGAGGGAGGGAGAATTTGTCCCTGAACTTCATTGGTGATGAAAGCACCATCATTAACAACCCTCAAGGGTACAGAACTTCACACTAATGGTATAGCCTTCCTTCTCATTATCCTACCTGATCCTCAGAACAACAGAGAAGACAGGACCAACAGGCTGCAACAGGAAGTTCAAGAGGAAGAAAACAAAGCCCAGGATGCGAAATAACTGGCCTATTTTAACACTTGTGGCTCTAGGCAGAAGTAATATTCAGACCTAGGGGCTTATTACTGTCTTGGGCTTTGACCACTAAAAGAAGATGGCATAATGGTTAAGAGGATGGAAGCCTGGAGCTATCAGATATTAAAGATCCTCCTGTTTTTTCTTTTCCATTAGTGTTTATAACTGCACATAGAAACAATAATATGCCTTCCAGAGAAGTCTGTGTTTTCAGGAATAGATCTCCTTCCTCTCCTTACAAGCCACAACTCTGCTTCCTCCTTCTAGTCAGTCTTCACCAGCTGGTTCGATGGCACGAGGTACTCCAAAAGTTCAGGTAGAATCTAAGCTACCAGTTTA